CTGAGAAAAATGTTGACGTGTTCAATACTTATTTTACCCGCTGTATTTTCAGTCTAGTTGTTTTTTTATACCTTCCCAACCACAGTAGGAGAATTAYTTATTCAGCAGTAATTGTCCCTTTCAGGCCTGGGTATTTATTAACATCAGCTTCAACAGGAGGAAGCTGATGTAAAGACTCATCCTATAGTTCAGTTTAAGGCAMATGGACGTCTTTTTTTATTTTCTTGAAGACGTGGCGCTTCTCATCCGAGCAACTGTGAGGTTAATGTATAGGACGCTCTTCTGACTTATTCAACATGTGATTTTATTCTGATAGAGTGGTCCAGTTTGTAGCTTGTTGTCAAGTTTTCCTTATTCTACCGTATATTATTTTTATATAAAGCAGCTCAAACAGCCAATGTGAGAAACAGAATCTGTGTCATTCTGTATCATCTGAAAAAAAAGAGGAAAATGGTGCAAATCATTCAGGTAAATRTTTAACCACTCCCCAGCACATTAAAATATTGTCACAAAAAAACGTCTTTGTGCCAATGATAGCTTGTTTGACTCCTCTAAAATCAAAATAACTTTATTTCTGTCAYTTCTACCTTGTTCTGGAATTAAAACGCTAACAATTTACTTTAATTTCAAATAAATAGGAAACAAATACAATTCTTTCAACAAACTTTAAAAAGAAAATCCAGATAGCTTGGGGCTGAGCTATAGGTCCTCAAAGTTTCAACATCTTAACGCCTCTGGCTGGGACAAAATTTAAAATGCTATTTCCCAAGGTTTCACTATGTACATTTTTCCCCCTTCCATTAAAAAATGATGGTTTGGTTTTCTGAAAAACTTACATCTGAGTTGGGAAACACAGCTGAAGAAGTTGTTGGAGTTGAAAGCACCTCCTGTGTCRGACTCTGTTTGGCTGGGTTTGGGCTCTGATGTTTTTCCATGGCTCCCCTTTTCATTTTCAAAGCTTAAAGCCCAGCAGCTTGAAAATGCTTCGACTGAAAGAGCTTACCAAATGACAAAGAAAAAAGAAAAGAAAAGAAAAGCAAAAGGGCACAGATCACAGAGAAGGGATGTGGTCATTTCCAGTAAGGCCCACCCTTCAGGATGTGTCATCAGTTCTTAGGAAGTATGTGCATACTTTCATTTTTATTTATTTTTCATTTATTTCATTCATAAAACAAAAAACAGGTAAAAATAAAAACACAAAAAAGCAAATCAAGCCCTGAATTAAGAGTGAATAAATAATCTTATTTTGTATGCTCCTTATTTAAAAAAAACAAACAAACAAACTCAAGCTTCAATAATCTCATCATTTACAAAAAAACAGAACAATAACAGATGTCTTCGCATTCCACCTCCAACAGATGCCACAAAAAGCATAACATAGCAAAGCATCTCATATCCTATTATTTTCCTTAAAATACAAATTATTCTTTCTCAGTATCCTCTTATCTTTTGACAGGACCAGAATGTGTGTGTGGTCCACTGTCCAACATACTGTGGCTCAGGCAACATCCTTTACCTGATCTTTGACTTTGGGGTTATGAAATATCTGACCATATTTTTCCAACTGAACTCAATAAGACATTTCTCAAAAATGTCTTGTCACCTTCTGGGTGTGTGTGTGTGTGTATGTGTGTGTGTGTGTATGTGTGTGTGTGTGTGTGTGTGTGTGTGTGTGTGAGCATATAACGTTATTAACTAGTTTACCTTACCATATCTCCACTTTTTATCTCAAAGTTCCATGAACGATTCCAAATTCACTTTATTTAAAATCAGAATCACTCCCTTTTATGGTTTTGTCCAARGGAGCTGGAAAATGCATTTTCACAACTTTATTTTTTTCAGATTTTTCATGCCCTTCTTTTAATACAGTAACTGTGTCTCTGACCTGCACTTTTTCCTTTGTAACTATTAAAACTTTTTTTTTTTTTACATTATTTAGACCTGGGGTTCTCAAACTTTTTGGGTCKGGGGACCCCTTAGGGTGAAAAAATTCCAGGGATCCCCTTATAAACCCCATGCAGTTAATGYAAAATAATTTACTGGTTTACTGGTTATTATTTTTTGTTTGGTTTAGTATGTTTGTTTTACTAGTGCATTATTCCCCATATGCTTTTTTAAAAAAAAATAAAAAACAAATTACGGTAACAATTTATTGAAATTTTTTGAGGATCCCCAAGACACGGCTCATGGACCCCTGTGGGTCCTGAGACCCCAGTTTGAGACCCTCTGATTTAGACCATTAAAAATCGTACTGTATAACTAGTATTTTACCCTGAACAAGAACAAAATAATAATAATAATAATAACTCCCAAACATAAAAGGGCCTCAA